ACAAACTGCTGCCAATAAGCCAAAAATTTATCAACCTAATAATTGTTATTGTCAAGCTTTTGGGTCAAATAAAATGATGATGATTATTATTATTATTATTATTATCGTTATTTTTGCATGTGTTTCGCTTGTACCACAACTTGCTGCCACATGCTGCAGCTGCATCTGTTGCACACATAATTTATTTTCTCTGACAATCTAATTATTTACCGTTGCCGAACGAGCAGCTGCACTTTGCATATTGGCACGCTCAGCCAAGAGCTAAAAGGCTTTAAGCCAATTTCACAAATGCAATGCCAATCAATCAATTTAGAGCACTTAACTTGGCCTTTTAGCAGGTAAAGACGGCATTATTAATGTTTAATAATAGATGTTCAGATAATTGAAATTGAAATTCAGCATTTTCCATGGAAAATGCAAATATGGCATTTAATTATTTTTGGAAAATTCTATTTAAGCGGCAGAAAAAGGCGTGAAAGAGTATATTTAGATATAGACATATCCTATATAAATATTGTAAATATAGAAAATCTATGAAACTTCTCATATAAGACTCACCTATCTAATCTATTGCTAACTATTGCCACTACTAATGCATTCAAAAATATTCTTCTCATGCCTAATTAGATTCTTTTCATAAATCTTATCAACCGCATAGCAATTATATTTTCCAAAATTCTTCATCCCTTTAACCCCGATTCTCCACAATCTCAAGGAAATTTCATTCATTTCAAGTGGCTCAGCGATAAGAGTACAGAATGATTAGTGCCTTTTGCAATGTAATGACACTGCCTGAGCTTGGGCCTTGGAGCATGGGCGTGGGCGTGGCAAGCCAAAATAGATTGCTTTGGGCATTTTGAAATCGAATCGGAATAGCTTTTTAGCCTCGAATCACTTGCAATGCGCAGCAATCGTATAATTAAATCAATTGCAGACCGAAGAGCAAAGACAAAACTGAAAAGGGGGCGGAGTCGAAGGGGCGGCGGAGGCGGTTCGCCTGCGAGATAAGCAAAAGTTGCATGCAGCARGGCAGCAAGGCAGCAAGAATCCTGTCGTGTCATGCAATTATCGAGTTTTAATGAAATTTCACGCACAGTCATACAAATCCATTAAAAAGACAAAACCAAAGAAACAAAACAAAAAGAAAGAAAAGGAAAAAAACTCTAGCAAATAAGGAAAATAAAATATCTAATGGCCAGTTTTTTGGCGGGAATCTCTAATTACCCAAGACACTGCCATAGTTAATTGCATTGCCAATGATGCGGCAAAAATGATTTGTTGCGACAAGCAAACATGCCACGCCCCCTAAAAAGAAGCCATTAAGTCATTAAGGATGCTCGAATAGTGATTAAAGTTGTGTGAAAGGAATTTAATCAACTGGCCGTTAAATAACTGTTTTGGCCAAATTGAATAGTACAAATTGTCGGGCCAGCTTTGCCGTTAGCCTAATTAGGCCATATTCGCATTGAATTGCAAATGACATTAGAAAATTTGCAAGTAAAAGTTTATAGCCAACTCGAGAGTGAATCTGTGGGCGTGCGAGCGAATGTGTGTGTGTGGTTCTTAACGAGTTTCCAACTCTCAGTCGCAGTCGCAGTCGCAACTTGTGTGCGCTGTGTAAATTAAATAAAACATTAATTGCTTGCTTACGTCACGTAATTTGCCCAGGCCACAGTCGCCAAAACCAAACCAGCATTCGAGCCAACATTCGAGCCACATGCGAGCTCCCCGAGCAATACATGGCTAAGGCAATGCGACACGTACTGCCAATAAATCTCAATTGATCCCCGCGGTGTTGTTGCAAAAGTTCAATTAAAAGTCTCCCCGTGGCATGCCTCACTGTGGCCAGCATCGTAACACACACACACACACACACACACACACACACACAGAGACACCCTCAGACACAAACACCCGCAGACACAACTGTTGCCCCAACGGCAAATGGCTGCAAATATGCTAAGTGGTCAAATGTGCACACACTATTTGCATGCACTGTGTATCACATGTTCCATGTCCATGTCCAGTGTCCAGTGGGAGCAGCCGAAGACAGGAAGCACATCGAATAGCCCAGCCCTGCACTAGAGTCAAATGCTCTACCTCATTATCATCTGTTATTCCACCTACTTTCACTACTCCCACAGCTTCTCCCACTCCCACTGCCACTGCCACTCCCCACTCTCTACTCGCCACTCCTACTCCCATTATATTTCCAGTTGAGCTGAATTGTTGGCCCACAAAAAGTGTTGCACAGTTATTAGCGCGCCATTCAAGTTTATTGGGCCGCTTGCAGTTCTAATTAAAGTCAAGGCAATAAAGAATACCATTTGTTCCTAATGATACGAGCTGAAGTTTGAACTCTAATTTAATTAGAGTTTCTGCCAATTAATCAAGTTTTGAGCTGAGCTTTAATTATGTTTTATAGTTGAAGCTAATGAATTTTTTTTTTTTTAAATATTGTTTCGAAAAGATTTTTCTTTTAGCTGTGCGAGATTTGAAACTTTAAAACGCATTTAAGCTTTAAAATTTGTATTAATATTTTTGTTTAAAAAAATAAAAATAAAAATAAAAATATTTTTATAAATGTTTTTATGAATTTAAAAATATAATTAAAGATTTTTTACAGCTTTATAAATTTTATTTTAGCTTTCGTGAATATAAAAATAAATTTCCACTTTACATTTCTTACTAAATTCATAAAAGCTTTGCTCATTTCTAACCGCTTTGCAACACTAGTACTTTTGTGCCTTAATCCCTTTCAGCTTATGTCATTGAAATTTAATTGAATGTTTCTGACAGAAATCAACACAATCAGCAAGAAGCCATAAACGCTCACATTTTGGCTGCCCAATGGTTATGACAACGAGTCCATCTAGCAGACCAGCAGAAATTTGCCATTTCACAAGAATGTATGTGTGTGTGTGCGAGTGTGTGTGTGTGTGTGGATAAGCGGGCAGCAAGTGCAAATAATATTATGCTTAACTGCACGCACGCACACATGTGCCTTGCTGTACAGCACTACTACTACAGGACTGGACATGTCCACAGGGCACAGGCGAGTCCAAGCGGGTCGAGAGTGTAGTGTGTGCATGCCACCGGAAGCAGCTAAGGACAACACGCACAACTTTGCTTGGCCAAACAGCATTAAGGAACCGCACGTACGCACACAGGACGACAGTCCAGCAGCAGGAGCAGCAGCAGCAGCAATATGTGCCTGTATATGTGTATGTGTGTGCGTGTGTTTGTAATTGTAATAACTGTTGTTCCGTATCGTTGTCGTAAGCTGGCTTGTTTGCCACTGTAATTGCCCCGACTACTTTCCGTAAATCCTGATCCTGGCCGTGGCGCTGCCATTGACAAGTTCAATAATGGCCATCGACCGCAACATCTGGTTTAGTTTGCCAGCCTGGCCGGGACTGGCCTCGGCTGGACTGGCCTGTCTGCCAGCCTACTTGGCATTTGGTTTCAGTTTCAGTTGCAGGTATACAACGACAGCACCAGGAGAAGCAGGAGCAGCAGCAGTTAGCCAACCGAGCGCCTAATTGAATAGCCGGTCCACAGGATGGCGGCAACAGTGAAACATTAACTGACATTTGAGCCAGCACTAATCTGCATAGAATTTGCAACTTGGCAGCCTGTGCCGAGAACTTACTTATCGCAGGACATTCAGCCGCAGATGGAGACACACACTCCACATTCTCACACACGCACACACACAGTCTTAGTCATACCCATTAATATGCTGTTGGCGCACATGTGCAAAGCGCCGGCTGCCAAACCCTTATCATGCGCCCAGACTTTGGACGCCCTTTTCTGCTTTGCATGCATATCCTGGCCCATTCTGCCAGCTAGCTAACTGCATCTATTTAGCATAATTTGTTGTCTTCTGTTTTTTTTTTTTCTCTCTATCTTTACTTTCTTAACTGTTGTCGGGGATGCTGCAAGGCTGGCATCCAGGCATCCTGGCAGTCAAGCATCAAGTGCTCAAGTTGCGCAGTCAGTGGAGACCAAAGACTTTGTCTAGCTTCCAGTTTTATTGGCCTTTTATTATTCAATATTAAAGTAAACATTTGGTTTTACTTTCAATTTTAGTTATATGTTATCTTATGTAAAAAAAAAAAAAAAACGTTTCATATTCCTTAAAATAATCATAGTCATTTTAAAAAGAGTATCAAACATGTAAATTATGCGTACATATATACATACACAGATAAAATAAAAATTAACAGTTAAAATTAAGCTTTACAATACTCACTTGCTCTCCTTCTATTCTCTCTCTCTCTCCGGCTCTCTTCCTCGTTGCTTGTAATTGCTACATTTTGCTAGCACGCAACTTTACGAATTACAACATATAACTTAAACGAAGAAAAAAATTTAATAAACACTCCAAAGAGCAAACACAAGTTTAACTATTTTATGTTTTACACTGATTGCTACATTTAACTTTCTTTAACACATAAATAACTATTTATTTATTTACACACACGAGAAGTGCATACACGCACACACACAACCGATCATTGAGAGAAGCGCACACCAACTAAACGATGAAATTATGCTCATGAGCTTGCTTACTCCTCGTTAATCCAGCAAGTTCACTAATACCAACACACAGCTACTTAGCTATTGAGAGCACACATTCAGCGCTGCACTCACACCCAGCTCAATTTGAGTTGATCTTAGTTGAACGACCAATAGCATTAAAGCAGAGCCGCTCAGTGTACGCTCTTGAGTGAAGTTATGTAGTTATAAATTAGCGGTAGCACTCTCCAACCAGAAATGGGCACAATTTTTAATATTTAATAAAATAAAATACTTTTTGCTGCCAAGCAAAACCGAAAGCATATTTTTTTTTTTAATTGCTAAAAGCGTTAAATTCAATTTGAATTTGCCGCAATAATCTGTCGTGTTTCCCAGCACTGCACAATACTGGGCAATTGTGACGTCAGCTGCGAAACAGCTGTTTTCTTGCTTTCGCCGCTGATATGAAAAATGTGAACAAACTTTGTTTATAAATTCAATGTGGAGTTTGAAATTGTGTATTAATTAGATAAACTATTATGGTAAATTATATGTTAAGTGTATTTAAGCCATTTATTTACTGAAAATTATATATTTACAGAATTTGGACGCAATTTTGCCCGATTTGAGTGCCTTAAAACGCGCCTTGGCCAATTTGGTTTACAAGGATTTATCAAATAGTTGTGTATATAAACATACATATATTGTATATGTATAGCTAATATAATTTACTATTTGCAGATGAACGTTTGCGACACATCGAGCCGCATTTTGACTCATCTTGCGACGTTTTTTATTGGAGCGCCCAAAATGTGGAGCAACAAAATTCCGTTGCTTATTTGCCCATGGAGCACGCTAAAGATCTGGACTTTGAGTTGATTAGACGAGTGCAGGAGAAACTATCGAACTATATCGTTATTGTAGCCATAGTGGATAATACGGGCAATATATTGTATTACCAGATCACGGAGGGATTGAATGAGAATGGCATATAAATGATTGAGAGATTAAATGGAGATGCAGGGAACTGTGGAATCGATGAAACTGATCTTATGCTGCTCCTCGATCGTACCTTAAGAGCACAGGCTAATGCTTTTGGACTATATGTTCCACTTCCATATATTGTCGAAGGGCAACAAAATGTCTTAAGAGATGACAGCAAAACCTATGGAATTTGATTCTATCCATTGTTCCTACTCTTCGTGGGCCGTTTTTAAAGAGATCCAAATAGATGAAGACAACTTGTACTATATAAGCAATATTCATGTACTATAGATTGTAAAAGCGATTGATATTATCAATATAGACAAATAAACAGCTATAGAGCTCCGCAATCCCCTATGGCTTTCCTTTACTCTTGAAACATGTGATCCAAAACACAACTAACTAAAACAGAATACGGTATATAAAGAATATATATAAATATATCAAATCATACCTTAACTTTCAAAGCCCTCACAAATTAGGAACTCATTTATTTTATAGCGATAGATATATTTATTCAAAATCATATCATAAAGTTGTTTTTTTTTTTTATTTTTTAGCATAAATAACAATTATGTGCAAAGGTGCATTCGGATGCATAATATATATGTACATATAAGCATATGAACCTAAAGATCTTTGCACACAATAAATGATATAATAGTTTTCGTATAATCATAGATTTTATATAATCAATAATCGTAATATAATTATCTTGACATTATAGATATATATTTATATAACTTAGGCACTAAAATTCAAATAATCGAATGCTACAAACTTAGAGACAAATTAAAAATTAAATTTTCTTTAATTATAGGCATAGATATTTATATATATGTATAGATAGCTTAAGTTTATTTAACAATCGGATTGCATGCAATTGAGAAAATCATTTTGCATAACTTGGGAAAAATTCTCAAATGCTTTTTAGCTGCTGATCTATTTCTTTTTAATATTGTATTTCTTTATATAGATATTTTTTTTAAAGCGTGCACCGCAAATAATTAAAAAAAAAAATGATAAATGAAATTTAAAAAGATATCTTTTAAAATGCTCAAAGCAATACAGTTTTTATGTTTGTTGTATCGTTCTTTTGTTTAGGTTTTTTTTTTTTTTAAAGTACAATAATAAATAACAAATCTATAAGCATGTAAATATGTATATAATTAAAAATATAAAATTA